CCCCCGCGGGCGGGGCCCCGCCCCGTCGGGGCCCTGCCGCACCCCCGGGCTGGCGTTCGGCCCCTCTCTGTGGTTCTACGGCCTGACCAGCTTCGGGATTTTTGTGTTTGTTTGGGTTTTTGTCCTTTCCCAGCCGGCCGCGCCGCAGCCCAGCCCGGGCGTTCTCGCGGCACACGTTTCCCTCAGGAAGCTGGCACCGGTGTAACACAAAATAAACAACCCCACACGCTCGGGCAGACCCTCCCTCTGCCCAGGATGGGCTTTTTCACACAGGCTGAAAACGATCGAAACGTTTCCACTTTCATTTCCCAGCCGCGTTTCGCCTCCTCAGGACAACTCTCCCAGTGACGGGCAAACTCGGCCCAGTGCTGCTTTGCTCAGTGAATTTTGCCAGCAGAACGTTTGGATCGGAGGAAAAAAAAAAACCCACACAACAAACCAGCACAAAACAGCAACAGCTCACCTCGGCTTAACCAAATGCCAACCCCCAAACGATAAGCCCACGCGGGAACGTGGGTGACACGCCGAGGGCCCCACACTCACATTGTTTCCCACATCCACAGGTCACAGCCTTTACCTCGCTCCTGAGCGTAAATTCTCCGCATCAGAAACGCTGAGTCTTCAAAGCAAAAAAAAAAAAAACCAACTTGTTGCCATCTATGTACAGGGGAAAAAAAAAGAAACTTACTCTGTTGTAGAGTTCTCCTTTTTGCCTTTTTTTATTTTTCTATGGTGACTTATTTCAGACGTGTCTCTTTTCTGTGCCCACCAGTGCACAAAGGCACCACCAAAGGCCTGCACTTGCGGCCTGGTCCCGTAGCTGTATGTATGCAGGCCCTAGCTCTGACACTTCATTTCTGGGAAAAAAAACAAAACCCAACACTAAGAAAACCGGGTGCCAGAGCCTTGTTCTTGTTCTCTTGCACAGGGAAACCAGAGGTGAGGTGTTTCAAACACACATATTACACATCCAGAAGCCCGGCTAAACGGAAACACACCAGAAGTAGAAGCTGGGAGCACTGCAGAGGGAGAGAAGCTGAGGCTCCCTCCCCACATGCTGACTACACAAAAAAAGCCCTGACCCAGGGTCCCTCCCAGCAGCCACCACACAGATGGTCCAGGCAGTTTATTTCATGAAAATGTGGTTCTGGACAGTTTGCACCTGGGACTGAGCAGCAAAGGCTGTAGGATGCACTGATACCCTTCTTTGCCCTCCTGACCATGTTTACCTCAGCCAGTTTATACCAGGCCTTAATGGCCTAATTAAGATGCTCCAGCCAGGGAGGTTTCCTGTTTCCCAGCAGTAAAGGAAAGCCTGGCTTGCCTCATCAGTGGGAGTTTTCTTAAGGATGGACTTTCAGAAGTTGGCTGAGAAGGAGGTTTGCCTGGGAGCAAATCCCCATTTGGGACCGATCACAGCCAGGAAGGTTGAACCCTATCGCCTAAACACAGGTTATTGGGGCCATTTGATGTGTCCTTTGATACCTGAGACATCCCTGTGGGTTGTCAGCAGGGAAGCAGGGCTGCTGTGTCCTTGACAGCTCTTCCTGCGTGCGGGTAGCTGAAAGGGGCCCACATCTTTTGGCATTACAAGAAGGTTAATTCAGGTCACATTTCTCATCTGCTTGCTGTGGCAAAGCTCAAACTGATAGGAGTCTTACACCAGTATCATCTGCTTCTTTCTCCCCCAAGGAAATCAAGGCATTCTCCTTCATTTCTAGGCTCGTTCCTGTTGGCTCAGGCTGAAGCACACCAGCAGCTGAAAGCTGTTACCACCTCACAGCTCAATATACATGAAATGAACTGGAAATCTCAATCCAGTTCCAAGCAGTGATGGTTATTAACTAGAAATCAGTTGTATTAAAAAAGTAAAGGTCAAATACCAAAGACAGTCAAGTATTTAAGCAAATGCTTAATTTTAAACATGCCACATTGGACAGTCTGACAATCTCATTGAAGTTACCAGATTATTTGTATGCTGAAAATAAGCAAGCACTTAACACTTTTGTAGACCAGGTCTTAATTTGGCACGAAGATCATCCTAGAAAAGCAAACCTGAGGAACCCTTGCTGATCCTTTCCTTGAAGACAGGAAACTTAAGCAGTGACGAATGCTCCTCTAGCATTTTTAACAAGCATTAACTATCTTCTTTTAAAAATAATGATTGTACCTCTCTGAGTGCTAGTTTTATGAAGATAGTATCTGGAAAAATTTAATTAAAATGAAAGAGATTTTGTCATGACAAGTCTACACAGAAAAAAGCTAAATCATGGTCAGAGGCAGTAATGGAATATTGCTTCATTTATCAGGAGCAGAAATAAACCAAATTGGTTGGTAAATATGGATATTTTCACAACAGTTTTTAACCTTGCAATTAGCTGCAGGGTGAAGGTGAGGCAGCTTAGTCAATAACTGGAATATGTTTTCCATCAGTTATCTCTGGTAATCTTTTGTTCCAAAGCTCAGAATACAGGCTTTGCTGTGAAGCAGGACCCAGACGCAGAAATCATCAGCTAGTGCTGACAGACTGCTCTCCAGTGCATGTATTACTCTGTATGTTGTAAAAGTGAAGAAGTCTTTCTTACTCAACTTTAATTTCTAGTCTATTACTTATTTCTAGTGATGTTTGCAGTGGCATTCTAAAATTACATCTCTATATAAAAGTATTTGGCAGTATTTTAATAAAGGAGATTTTACCACGATCTCTACATCCTACATTTTTATGTTCATTCTGGTGCTGAGGCGTAGAAGAGAAGCAGTTTATGCACAGAGAAACACCCCGTTGCAGCACTGAGCATCCACATTAGGTGTGAATAATACACAATATTAAAATGACCTCAGACTCAAAAAACTCACCAAGCAAATAGGCCGATGTCATCATATTCTTGCTCTTTTTCCACCCCTCACGTCTTAGACATATGTCTGAATTTCCAGCTCCTTGTATCTAAACAGGGGAGGCTCCTGGCATAAGTTGAGTTTTTTATGGATTCAAAACTGTCTGATTGGAAAGACTTTGATCCCACACCTACACAAGCTACTTACTTCTGTATGAAGTTACAGATATATAGGCCACTTGGGTGAAGGCAAACTGGACCAATTAGAGGCTTATACAATAGGCAGCATTGATGTTTGTTTTCATGAAAGCAGAGGATAGTGCTTTCCAGCTGCAGGGGAAAAGAGAGAAGAGAAGAATGCTGTTAACTCTTTTTATACAACAGATATAAATGGGACCAGGCCAAAACCCAGGCAAGCATCCCAGAGCTTTAGCATGTAAGCATATGAAAATTTGGACCTAAAGCCTTGGGTTTGTTTGTCATTATTCTATTTGAGTGGGGGGAAAGGAGAAGAAGGGGGAGGGGGGAAACAAGACAAGAAGAAAGATCAGACCACTCCAGATATTTTGATATTTAAAATCCAACTGTGACATTAAAGCTTCTCTGTAGCCAAAATAGTTTTAATTTACTTATCTCAAGCAACACACAATTAGCAGCTTACTCGAGGATGGCCAGGCTTTTAAAAGCACCTAAAGGAAGTTTCCCACACAAGCTGGGAATGCCTATTACCTTGTGGGTGTTAATATTTGAGACAGCCTAGCTCTTCCTTGAGCACAATGGCATTTCAAAACACTTGGATGTATAAAAGACGACACTACTTGGCCTATGAATTGGATCAGAGAGTGCCAGAACAGCTTATTTTGACAGTACCCGCATACAAGAATTGATTTATTGCTGCTAGGGCTTTGTTTTATTTTGCCCATAGCAAACGTCATCAGAGTACTAGATGATTTCTTGATAGCTAGATAGCTGTGGGGACTCATTTTTCCTTTTTTCTTCTAGTGGGAGTTAACTCCCTACTGATCTTATTTTAAACAATGTGTTGGTATTGGTGCCATACAAAAATATTATACATCTGGTTAAAGAAACAACAGAATACCCAGAGGACAAAGAGGCCTGACAGACATAAATGTGATTTAGTAACATAATAAACCAGAAGTGTAGTGAATCATGCAAAATCAGCGTAATTACTTGATTACAAATGAGAAAACCAGAATATGGAGCACTCAGTGCTGGTCTACCCACTTTATTCAACCTGGCTGAGTAGGAACAGGAAATTCTAGCTAAATTCCTAACACCCAGTTTTATAAATGACTTTCTACTAGAAGGAAAGGCTTTTTTCTCAATGTTAGAGGTAGCCCTGAAAATGAACAGCTCTCACAAGTGACCTTTTGGGGGTTTCACTAAAGTATGGGTATGAGCTTTGCATCCTCACTGTCCAGCCACACTTGTCCACATTATGGCATGCAGGTGTGGCCAAGGACTGCCTGACTTGCTGTTTGCTACATCTGAACTTGTAAGAACTAATATTATGTATTAACTCAAGTATTTAAATCATCACTGGTTTGTTATAATAATCTCCTGAAAGAAACAAAGTTAGAAATAATGAAAACTGAAGTCATTTGTGATTTAAGCAAAAGGAGTTTAGATTAAAGGGGAAGCCTGGATGCCCTTCATGCTGTGACACAATAAAACAGCTATGTAAATAAACTTCTGAGAGCAGCTCCAAGCCATTCAAGTGAAGATATTT